GAGCCTGGGCCGGGTGGGGGGGGGACTGGGGCGGGGGAGGGGAAAGGGGCTTGGGAAGGAGGGGGAGAGGGGGAGAAAAGGGGGGAACCAAACCCGGAAAGGGAGAAAAGGGGGGAGGGGGAAAATCAGAAGGGGAAGAAAGGCCCGGAGTCCGCCCCCCGCTGCGGCCTGCGCGCTACGTCACCACGTCCGGCGTAGTCGTCAGCGCGCCCTGCGGCGCGCGCGTCCCTGCCTCCTGTGTGCTTCTCGCCACGCCGGCGGACGCCCTCTACCTGCTCAGCCGCCGAGCCGCCGACACGCGCGCTCTGCTCGCGACGCTCGCCCTTTCCTCCCCGATACACGCGCACGTGCAGGCAGAGGCTCGCTCCGTCCGCGTTACCTGTGTGTCGAGACACCAACCCAGATCCGCGGCGAACTTCAATCCACCTGAAACCCGTCAAGCCTGTCAGATTCACCCTAAATTTAAACATAATACTAATACTAATAACTGCAAAGTAATTTAAATTTGCAGAACACTTTCAAAATAGCCTTTCACTTAGGAGAGTAACTCCTGTGCCCAAAGAGCATATATACTATAAATATTCGTGGTATAAATGGACAAAGATCATGTGGTAGGTAAATGTACATTTTTTCCAGATGTAAAACTGTGGCTCTAAATAAAGCAGTTTTAAGTCCATCCTAGTCAAGTCACTTCTTATCACTACCGCCCTCTAAGATATAGTTCTTTTTCTTGAGTCATCTTAAAGTTGCAACCTCCCCCATTCTGTCTGTTGTAGGCAGAATCAACTTAGTTACTGATTACGTGTATTTGGATCGTTTTCTGACCAACTCCCTCAAAGAAGTGTTGTAATCTTACATTGATAGAATTCGACCATTAAATATTTACTATGTGATGAGAACTGCAGTAGGCAAAAAATAATAATAATAATAAATCAAACCATTATAGTACAATGTAAGTGCTATAATGAAGTGTTGGATGTGCTATGGAAACACAAGAAGGAGCAATTAGTTCTTAGAGGTAAGGGAGATTGAGTAAACTACAGAGAAGCTACAGGTGAAATTTCAGCTAACCTTGGAGAATATAAGTAGGAATTTGTCAGAGAGGCAAGAATGGAGATTCCAGCAAAGTCCTAGAGGTATAAAATTCTTCTTTCCTGCAAAGATCAGAAAGTTCCAGGTTTTCAATTTGGAGGCAGGGGGCAGTGATGGCCAGGAGGAAATAATAGCTAATATTATATTATGTGTGTATGTATGATATAGAGTATGTAGCATTCTACATGTATTATTTCAATTCTGTCCTCAAAACCGTAGGTACTATTATTATACCCATTTTATAGATAAGGAAACCCGAGGCACCAAAGTCCTAGATTTTGAACTGAGACGGTTTATCTTCAGAGCCTACTCTTAATCATTACACTATTGGAAATGTAACTGGAAAGGGCAGTTTACAAAGGACAGAGTAAAACAGTCAGGTCTTTCTGGGACAAATGCAGTAACTGAAGAACAAGGCAGAAACATGAGGCATGCACCCCCTCAGAGAAGCCCTCCTCTGCTTCTCCCCCTTTTGCTCACCTCTCGTTTCCTAACTATTTGCCAGAGAGAAGGTGAGAGGCTGAATTCATCCTAGGATTTGAGGGGCTCTGGGAGCTATGTACTGTAGTCAAGACATGAAACAAATAGCAATATAACTACCTCCCCCAAATTCAAGATAAGGTTATCATCCAAGAATGAAATTAGGAACATTAAAATGTTAGAGATAAGATCAGTCCCTATAGGCTGGGGTGAGGAGAGTGGGGAGTGACTGCTAACGGGTACAGGGTTTCTTTTGGGGGTGATGAAAATGTTCCTAGGTTAGATAGTGGTGATGGTTGCACAACTCCATGAATGAGCTAAAACCACTGAAGCTGTACACTCTAAAGGGTGAATTTTATGTTATGTGAATTACATCTCAATAAAACTATTTTTTAAATAAATAAATAAACGTATCCTAAAAACTAAATAATAAATCTACCTCTTTCATACCCCTTAAAGAAAAGAACAAAAAAGATCAGCCCCTATAGAAGAGAGCTGAGAAACTGTGCCACAAAAATCCAATCAAGATGACTTGAGTATAACTTCTGAGAAGCAGGCTGGCTTGTAACATTTTTTCATTCAATAAATATATTTTAAGCACTTTTATTATAGATCAGGCACTGTGTGCAATACTGGGGATATAATGGTAAGCAGCAGAGATGACTTCTAAGTGACTGCAATACAAATGGCGATTGGGGGCATGGCATCTAGGAAAGGAGAGTCCAGAAGGGCAAATATTGGCAGAATTTCTTCAGCACATCTAGAGGTGAGAGTATTCTGGCCCACAAACAAACCAATGTAGCAGGAATAATAATAAACTTTTATTAAGTACTTACTATGTGCCAGCCACCGTCAATGCTTTACAAAATTATTTAAATCTCAAAACTCTGAGATAATCATTATAGATCTATAATCCCATATTCACAATCCATAGGGCCAGACGTGTTTCAGAATTCAGAAAATTTCAAGTTTTAGAAAGGTAAAATGGTACATATACTGTATATTATTTAACATCGCCAGGGGTAGCATCCCATAAACTATTAATATTTCTGGAGTAAGAATGTATAGTCTCAGTACGATTTTTAAAAAGACTTTAAATAAACTCACTTCTCTTCAGGTCACGTATAGCCACCATATGAATCACCAAAAAAAATGTATGGATTACAGGGTTTTTTAGATTTTGGAATCATAGATAATCATTCTTCTCATTTCTCTGTGAAGAAACTGAAGCAAGAGAGGTCAAGTAACTTGCCCAGAGTCACACAGCTAGGAAAAGGAAGAGACAGATTTTTAACCAAGGCCGCCTGGTTTAAAAACATATGCTCCTAACTCCACCCACCACTCCTGCCAGGTAAATCCTACTGTGGAGACAGAGGCCCTTCCCTGGAGATCTATTACTAAGGACCTTCGGGGGAGAGAGCCAGGAATTCTGAGAAATCTCAAAATTTCTTTTCCTAAACAGAAGAAACTCCAAAGGTTGAACAACTATAGCTCTCAAGCCCCTTCCCCACCTTCAGACTTCCCTCTGAGGACACAGAACACCTGGCTAAGACACTTCCCCTCCTCTCCCTTAAACCTCAGACTGGATGGTTTTGAGCCCTGCTGGGCAAACCCAATGTGGGGCTGACCAAAGGAGTCTGAGTTGTGGGCCTCTCAATACCCTGCATGACAGTGACCTAAAGTGCCCACCAATGACCCCCTCTGGTTTGAGAGACATCATTTAAGGCTCTATTTTAAAACTTCTGATCTCC